GTGGGAGACGGCACACACACCGAAACCAACACACACTCTGCTTCTAAAGAGGAAATGGGAAGCACGGGGAAGAACTACAAAAACGCCAGCGGAGGCGGGGGAAACATTTCCAACTCGTCGCCACGGAATCACAGTTCTTCAAATGGCAGCGTGCCGCCAGGTTCCTCGGCCAATAAGAACGAGAAGAAGCAGAAGGGGGCGGGGAAAGGGCAGAAGGACCCGGTGGAGAACTGCATCCCCAACAACCAGCTGGGCAAGCCCGACGCCCTCGTACGGTAAGACACAGAATAGCAATATATGAGACTTAATCATATATTTTCCTGGTTTAAAAAGCTCCGTTACAGTCACAGGTGGAATGTAACAAACGTACAAGATACCTGTACTTCAGTATTTCCATTTTATACTGCTAAATACTTCGACTACACTAGAATTTGTAAGCCAAAATTGCATGTTTTACTCCCCTACATGTACCTGACAACTTAGTTGCTGGTAACTTTGCAGACTCAGAATATTAAATATTAAATCTAATATCCAGAGGTAGTATACAAAGTCAATAAGATTAGCTCCACATGTACCAGCTGTGATAGACACATGAATGCATTAATACTAATGAGTACTTTTTTTTACCATTGATAACAGTAATGCCTTTTTATTTAATAGCCAGAGCTTGTTTAATATTTGCCTTCATCCACTTCGTCAATAACTCCACATTGCTGAGGGTTATTTATCAAATGCTCATTGTGGGTCAAACCTACAATATCTGTTACTGAATCGACATCGAGGTATTTAGTCCAAATGTTGTGATCCCTTATTTTCTTCACATCGCCTTAAAATGTCTCTTGTACCATTTCAAGTAGCCATTCTTCTAGGGCTGTGCGATTATGGCAAAAATCATAATCACGATTATTTCGGTCAATAATTGATATCACGATTATTAAATGCCAAGTCAATTAAATTATTCATTGACTTGAAAAAATCAATTTATTGAACTTTAAAACAAATACAAATAATAACTTGAACAGTATCTTTTTAACTGTTGATTTCCCTGAACGTATAATTCAACTGAAAAACCAATACAAAAATAAATAAATGATACATTTATATTTACATTTAAATAAATAATATAAAAATAATAAATACCAATAAAAAAGATCAACAAATATTTTGGAGCGCACTTCCACAAGCTACTAAACATATATAAATATGACATACAAATAAATGAGACCAAAATTAATTAGATCAAATATGTTGCACTGTCACAACCAAGCAAAGCTAAATAATTGTTTTTTTCGATTATGTTGTTTTTGTAATTGTGGCAGGCCAAAATCGTAATTGCGATTAAAATACGATTAATTGCACAGCCCTACATTCTTCCTTTCCTTTCCATCTTGTTGCAGGTGTTTGGAGATATGTTGTCATCAAAAATCAGTTTAACTGTCTGATACACTTTCTCTATCACTTGTCCACATGATTGATAAGATACAAGCCAATACACCTTCCTTACAGAACTAGTGTCTAGTAACATGAGGTCTCTTTGCCTTTTCATGATGTTGTGCAATAACACTTTTTATTATTATATCTTTAATACTTTCTTATGTATGATTCTTAGGTAACATTCAGCTGTCTTTGGCTCTTTTCTGCTGTAACAATGTACATGTCCGCTCTGTGGGACTAACAAAGGGGTTCTGGTTCTGATCTTGTGACCCTTCTCCCTCCTGAAAGGCTGGAGCAGGATGTGAAGCGTCTGAAGGCGGATCTTCAGGCCAACAGGCAGCTGGAGTCGGAGCTGCGCAGTCAGGTGTCCTCTCTGAGCAGTCAGGACCGCAGCCTGCGCTCTGAACTGGGCCAGCTGCGGCAGGACAACGAGCTGCTGCAGAACAAGTGGGTGCACGTCGGTTTACTCGCCTCCATCTGACAACAAGATCCAAGGCTTTTATTGTCATGCGTACAGAGCTATAGTGTAGTTATGTCAATGGACATGTTAGGTCACAGGCTCCTCCAACAGAGCAACACAATAAAACAGATAAAATAGTGCAAGTAAATACAACAGAATAGAAATAGTGTAATAAGAGTCTATCTACAAGTGATACATAATTTGTAAGTTGCAAACAGGTGAATGTTATGGATGTTCTTAGTTCAGGTGTTGAACAGTCTTCTGGCCTGTGGGATGAAGCTGTCCCTGAGTCTGAGCCCCCCTCAGTTCTTCTACAATGAATACCATCTTATGACAGCGCGTTGAGATAAGCAGCGGGTTAGTTGAAGGGATAGTTTAGGTTATTGAAGGGGACTTGAGGTACTTATCCACAGTCAGTGGAAGCCCTCAAGTGAATAGAAACAGACCGTTTGGAGCCACCAGACCCCATTAACAAAAACTGTGATTTTACTCCAGAGAACACGGAGCAAGCTGGTCTTCTTCTGCCTGAACCCTTTAGTTTGTTTCCAATCCACTTTATTTCTATAGCACATTTAAAAACAACAGTTGAACAAAGTGCTGTACATCAACAACTGTATAAAAACATAGCATAAATACATAAAAAACAGACAGGACATGAAACAAATGTGAAACAGGAGACAATGAAACCAGATCAGAGCCACAGACTGAGAAACTCTCCTACACGACGTACAAACAATACAAAACACTAGTAATATAAAAACCCAAATGTAACAGCACGTGTGTCACCTGGTCCGTAAACGCAAGGGAAAAGAAGTGGGTTTTTAAACGACATTTAAAACCAGGCAGAGTTGGAGCAAGTGTGACCTGTTAGTTCCTTCATGTTGGAGCTGCAACAGCAAAGGCTCTTTCTCTGTCTGCTTTGGGACGACCAGAAGTCATCTGTGAGCAGACCTCAGTGACCGTTTAGTGACTTATTTGTGACTTTACTTGGTGAGTCTGGGTTCATTAAAGACACACAACATCAAAAACAAATGATCCGATGGAGACGGTGGTCGACCTGGAGATCCTGTTTGTCAAAGGAGTCTTGTGAGTTTTGCAAGAGGATAGATAATCCTCCCACAGCTAATTCTGGTAATAGTTGTATAGTAAGTAAAAACAGTAGGAATGCCTTTTGAGGAAAGGCTGTTCAGGTGTTCAGTTCATAACTATATGAACTGAAAGGCTGTTCAGGTGTTCAGTTCATAACTATATGAACTGAAAGGCTGTTCAGGTGTTCAGTTCATAACTATATGAACTTACTACTGAACTGAAGACTGGGATTTAAATGGTATTGACTCATTGATCTTTATCTCAGTGACAAGCCTCGGTACACAAACATTGCTTTCTCAAAGGTGTGTTATCAGTGAACAAACATGAAGGTTAAACCCTTTAAATCTTAGGTGTATTTACAAAAAGACGGATACAGTTCCATCAATTCTAAGAGTGTTATATTGTCTAAAGAAACGACCAACTAGCCATGTTTCTCTCCGTTCTTCAGGCTCCACAGTGCCGTCCAGGCCAAGCAGAAGGACAAGCAGACCATCTCTCAGCTGGAGAAGAGGTTGAAGGCGGAGCAGGAGGCTCGCGCCCTCGCCGAGAAACAGCTGGCCGAAGAGAGGAAGAGGAAGAAGATGGAGGACGCCACCGCTGCCAGAGCCGTAGCTCTAGCTGCTGCCACCAGGTACTCACAGTGAAAAGAGCCAATCAGATATTCACATAAGACAGGATGTGAAAGATCAGCTGGCTCTGGTGCTGTGTCTCAATTCGCTGTACTAACATTTGATATTTTGAGTGCAAAAGTGCGTCCCAATGCCACGAGGAGAACATGGATACTGATGTTGATGTTGCTAATGCTCTGATGAGGTTATCAGAGCATTAGACAAGTCAAAGTTAGCCCGCTTTTTACGTACAAATACACTTTTGTCTAAAAGAAGGCACTGTTGATTTAATAGGGTTAATTGAGCAGTCTGTAATTTCCACCACACACTATACCATTGCCTCTGTAGCTAACAGCAGAGATCGTCAGTTCCTGTGAGAGCACAGCAGCCTTGTGAGATTTGCTACAGGTCGAAATTCATGCTCTGCATTAGTCTGCCCGACATGGCAGTGTACTAACATGCACGACGTGGCAGTGTACTAACACGCCCGACATGGCAGTGTACTAACATGCACGACATGGCAGTGTACTAACATGTACGACATGGCAGTGTACTAGCATGTACGACATGGCAGTGTACTAACATGTACGACATGGCAGTGCACTGACACGCGCGACATGGCAGTGTACTAACATGTACGACATGGCAGTGCACTGACACGCGCGACATGGCAGTGTACTAACATGTACGACATGGCAGTGTACTAACATGTACGACATGGCAGTGTACTAACATGTACGACATGGCAGTGCACTGACACGCGCGACATGGCAGTGTACTAACATGTACGACATGGCAGTGTACTAACATGTACGACATGGCAGTGTACTAACATGTACGACATGGCAGTGTACTAACATGTGCGACATGGCAGTGCACTGACACGCGCGACATGGCAGTGTACTAACATGTACGACATGGCAGTGTACTAACATGTACGACATGGCAGTGCACTGACACGCGCGACATGGCAGTGTACTAACATGTACGACATGGCAGTGTACTAACATGTACGACATGGCAGTGCACTGACACGCGCGACATGGCAGTGTACTAACATGTACGACATGGCAGTGTACTAACATGTACGACATGGCAGTGCACTGACACGCGCGACATGGCAGTGTACTAACATGTACGACATGGCAGTGTACTAACATGTACGACATGGCAGTGTACTAACATGTACGACATGGCAGTGTACTAACATGTGCGACATGGCAGTGTACTAACACGTACGACATGGCAGTGTACTAACATGTACGACATGGCAGTGTACTAACATGTACGACATGGCAGTGCACTGACACGCGCGACATGGCAGTGTACTAACATGTACGACATGGCAGTGTACTAACATGTACGACATGGCAGTGTACTAGCATGTACGACATGGCAGTGTACTAACATGTACGACATGGCAGTGTACTAGCATGTACGACATGGCAGTGTACTAGCATGTACGACATGGCAGTGTACTAACATGTACGACATGGCAGTGTACTAGCATGTACGACATGGCAGTGTACTAACATGTACGACATGGCAGTGTACTAACATGTACGACATGGCAGTGCACTAACACGCGCGACATGGCAGTGTACTGACACGCGCGACATGGCAGTGCACTAACATGTACGGCATGGCAGTGTACTAACATGTGCGACATGGCAGTGCACTGACACGCGCGACATGGCAGTGTACTAACACGCACGACATGGCAGTGTACTAACATGTGCGACATGGCAGTGCACTGACACGTACGACATGGCAGTGTACTAACACGTACGACATGGCAGTGTACTAACACGTACGACATGGCAGTGTACTAACATGTACGACAGGGGTACTCAAACTTTTTTATTAAAGGTCCACTTGTGAACTTTATACAAGGTCACTGGTCCGGATCTATGCCAGTAAAGTCACTGTAATATACACACACACATTTAATACATACATACAGTATGATGGCTTGAACTAGTGGGAGAAATGGCACTGTTTGTCTGTAGCCAATGCCTTGAACCTCGGCAAAAAAAGGCATTAGAAGCTTTAGAAAGTCAAGGTAAACTTGCGGTTAACTTGCGGTCTGCAATGCGTGTGACACTCGCGCACACAAGTAAATATATATGCACGTTCATTCTCACAATCAGACACGCGTCAGACACAAGACGCGCGTACACAATGATGTATATTTATCAGAATCAGAATTTTTTTTTTTTTTTTTTTTTTTTAAATAATAATTATTATTTTTTTATAATGGGACACAGGGTTCGGTCCGGATTGATTTGCAGTTCGGTCCGGATCCGGACCTTGGTCCGGAGTTTGAGAAGCCCTGATGTACGACATGGCAGTGTACTAAGCAGAGTATCCAAATTGAGACACAGCATTTGACAAACTAGCCTTTCCCACTATTAAAGTGCTGTTGTTCTCGTCTGGCCAACAGGGTGGAGTCCACTGATTCTCTGCGAGGCCACATCAGAGAGCTGGAGATGGAGTGCAAGAAGCTCAGCATGGACCTGAAGCTGAAGGAGGAGCAGATCAGGGACCTGGAGGGCAAGTGTCAGGTGAGAGGAAAAACACTACTCTGTTATCTGGTTAGATAAAGCTCAGGGTTAATGAGGGGCTGCTTCCTAGGTCCTTGAGAAGGTTGTATAATACATGATCTGAATTCTGGGACTGTAACTGGGAATAAGCTCTAATGACCAAGCTGTTCTAGGATTTGTAATCAATGACTGTGATCACTTTACTCAAATGATATGCCATTTGAGTAAAGTGATCACATATACAGACCCTGTGGCTTCTGATTGCTTCAACCATTTAACGCAGCTTTGTTTGGAAATAAGACACTTGTTTAGTCGCTTATAATAATTTATGCATGACTGTAAAATACACACAGAACATGTTTTGTCCTCCCAATGCAAATTCTCTTTCCTCTCCTGTTATTATTATGTATTTATTTCAACAAGGACCATGCATACAAATACATTACTCTCAGAAAAGAGAACAGATTTGAGCTAATAGCTCATTTCCATCCGTCACATGCAGGAGCTGAGGAAGTATAAAGAGAACGAGAAGGACACGGAGGTCTTGATGTCGGCGCTGTCAGCCATGCAGGACAAGACGCAGCACCTGGAGAACAGCCTGAGCGCTGAGACCAGGATCAAGCTGGACCTGTTCTCTGCCCTGGGGGACGCCAAGAGGCAGCTGGAGATCGCACAAGGTAGGTGTTAGCAGAGTGAAGCTCAGCGTTCTTTGCTGTTAGCACCCAGATAAAACGTCCGGCAGTACTTCGTTCAACAGACACTCACATTGGAGGCGTGGCTTTATTTATACACATGAACTTTAACCTTTCATGTAATCATGGGCGGCGCCAGGATTTTTTTGCTGCAGTAGCTTAGCAGTTGCTATATGACAGCACGCGAGATCTCGCGAGAATGTGTATACATATATATAGATACATTTTCATAACAAAACAATGGGGTTGCTAAGCCGTTGCTAGGCCAATTGTTGGAGTTGCTATAGCAACTCCAAGCTACCCCCTGGCGCCGCCCCTGCATGTAATTGGCTGGACTAGAGGAGCACGCTCATGAACTGGACTAGAGGAGCACGCTCATGAACTGTTCGCCGGAGCCTCGCAGCGGAGTTACTGCGGAGCGCATAAAGCAGACCCTTCACGCGATAGCAGAGTGAACAGTCCGGCAGTGGCTCAGTCAGTAGGGGCTTGGACTGCCAGCCACAGGGTCGCCGGTTCAAGTCCCCGAACAGACCTAAATATGGAATGTGGACTACTCCTTGGAGAGGTCCCAGTTCACCTCCTGCCCTGCCGTGGTGCCCTTGAGCAAGGCACCGGACACCCCGGGCGCTGTACAATAGCTGCGCACTGCTCCTAGTACTAGAATCCTGGTGCTACACCCCAGCCAGAGCTTTAAGGTCTGCTGACCAGCTGCTGCTGGTAGTGCCCAAGACCAGGCTCAAAACCCGAGGGCACCGAGCCTTCGCAGCAGCTGGCCCTAGGCTCTGGAACACTCTGCCCCTCCATGTGAGGTCGGCCCAGACCCTAGGGGTTTTTAAATCAAAACTAAAAACACACTTCTTCTCTCTGGCTTTCTAGTCAGAGCGGAGCACGACTCCTCACTTTTCCGTGTGTTTTATTTTTATTTTGTTTTTTAAGATATATCTGTTGTAATTTATTGTCTTTTATTGTGATTTGTAGTAATGTGTTTTTATTACATGTACAGCACTTTGGCTCGACCAAAAATCGCTTTTAAATGTGCTTTATAAATAAAACCTGATTTGATTTGATTTGATCTGAGACTCCTGGTGCTAGACTCCTGGTACTAGACTCCTGGTGCTAGACTCCTGGTACTAGACTCCTGGTGCTAGAGTCCTGGTGCTAGACTCCTGGTACTAGACTCCTGGTGCTAGACTCCTGGTACTAGACTCCTGGTGCTAGACTCCTGGCGCTAGACTCCTGGCGCTAGACTCCTGGCGCTAGACTCCTGGCGCTAGACTCCTGGCGCTAGACTCCTGGCGCTAGACTCCTGGTACTAGACTCCTGGTGCTAGACTCCTAGTGCTAGACTCCTAGTGCTAGACTCCTGGTGCTAGACTCCTGGTGCTAGACTCCTGGTGCTAGACTCCTGGTGCTAGACTCCTGGTGCTAGACTCCTAGTGCTAGACTCCTAGTGCTAGACTCCTAGTGCTAGACTCCTAGTGCTAGACTCCTAGTGCTAGACTCCTGGTGCTAGACTCCTGGTGCTAGACTCCTGGTGCTAGACTCCTGGTGCTAGACTCCTGGTGCTAGACTCCTGGTGCTAGACTCCTAGTGCTAGACTCCTAGTGCTAGACTCCTGGTGCTAGACTCCTAGTGCTAGACTCCTAGTACTAGACTCCTAGTGCTAGACTCCTGCTACTAGACTCCTGGTGCTAGGATGGGTTAAAGCAGAGTACACATTTCACTGTGTGCGCTGTGTGCTCTGCATGTGTGACCATTACAGAGGGTTTCATCCCTCCCAATATTATTATTATTATTATTATTATTATTATTATTATTATTATTATTATTATTAACAGGTACAGGAGGGGTAGTTAATCGATCGCAGGTGGCGTCGTGCTCGCGGACGGATAAAAAAAGATTAATATACGAAATATACTTTGGCGGACGTTAATATACCTGGGCAGGCCCCGCCCAAGTAAAGCCTATGTGTGGGAAGCCCTGGGCATTGATGTGATGTAGAAGTCATATTTGTCAGTGTAGGAAAACCTCACTTTTTAGGCAAGGTTATGTGATCTTAAATCAGGGGGGTCCAAACTTTTTTCACAGAGGGCCACATACAGAAAAATATGCGAAGGGCTGGGCCACTCACTGGAGGTATACTGCCTCATAAGTTAAGGTATACCTTAGCAAAATCAATCAAATGTAGATAAATGATGCTTCATCAGCCTAAATCACAGCTCTCCATAGTGTTTCAATTATTTTGTGAGCAGCACTTTCCTTAAAACAGAAGCCTTAGATTGCTTATCATAAGAGGACATTTAGGGTTTATTTCAAGCTTGTTATGAAAATAAGTTATGGGCTTTTTTTCTTATCAACTTAGATTTGTTAGAAAACGTTTTCAACTTGAATTGACTGAATCTATTTGAAAAGTGGGTTTATTAACACGTGATTTTTACTGTGTAATATCTGTTTTCATCTGCATTTAAGAAGTACAATACAATACAAGGCAAGAGGGCCATACTCCATTATACTTTTTTAATTTGTTGAGAGCCAATTCAAAATAGCCCGACACCCCTGCCTTAAAGCTTTTGAGGATTAGATGTCCAGAGCAAAGGTCCCTCTTCTCTCAACGCTGTGATACAAACGTCCTTGTCTCCTTTGTCCTCCAGGCCAGATCCACAAGAGGGAGCAGGAGATCGCCGAGCTGAAGCAGAAGATAGCGGAGGTGATGGCGGTGATGCCGAGCCTCTCCTACTCCTCGGACAGCAACAACATGAGCCCCGTCACCCCCCACTACTCCTCCAAGTTCATGGACAATAGTCCCTCCTCCCTGGACCCCAACGCCTCAGTCTACCAGCCCCTCAAGAAGTGACTCTGACAGAACTTTGTCCTCTTTTGGGTTTATTTCTGAGTTGACCAGCCCCTGACAGTTTTTGCACTCTGATGTTACGCGCTCACAAGCCCTCCAGACATCCTTTGTTTGTTTGTTGGATTATTATTTCGAGAGGGTTGTGTACGATATTTTCTGTGGTGAGTTTAGACATTTAGACATTTAGACAGTGTTATCTGTTTGGGGAGAAAGGAACACTATTTGTTAGCCAAATGTTTACTGATGGGCCGTCATGCATTGCTTCATCTTCTTTTGGTGTCAGAATGTCCCCCCTATACATATCTTCTTTAATATTAAACTGACAGTTTAGTTAAAAAAACTATTGGATTCTCCTAAAACTCACCTGTAAAGTGTTGCCCAGCGAGAGATACATGAATGTAAAGCTATTCATGTTTGCCCACCACCGTTATCTAAAATCAGTGATTGTATTGTTTTAGTTACGGCAATGTACATTTTCTTCTAAACATTGTGATATTGAAACGTTTGCTGTGTTCTTCAGGTATTCCAATACAATGTGTCCTCTGGAATAGTACCAGGATTATCAGTTAGTGGACAAAGCAGATTAAATAATGTCCTAAAAATGAAATAAAAAGGCCACTGCTCCTGGAGATTCGACCTGGCACTGCCAAAAGACAACCTTTCCTTTCCTTCTGGACCAAAACCCGTTAGGCCATATCGTTCTCACAAGTCAATGATGTGGAAGGTAACTGCTTTTACCGTTATTTGCAGATTTTTACAGTGCCTTCTCTTTTTTAAGATGCAAAAACGACATAATCCTGGGATCTAAAAGCATCATTTCTCGATCGAGCTCTGATTCGCCTGGTTCAAGATGTCTGATCCTGTCAATTCAGTATTCAAAGGTTAAAACAATAAGACGCAGTTTCTTTCCAACACAGACTTCAAAGGGAAAACAAAACGTTGGATATGGCACATGTCATTTCATCGTGACGCAGTCTTGGTACGCCAAACAACCACCAAACTGATTGTCTATGCCGAGAGTTGGCATTTAGTTGTTTACAACGATGTACATTACTTATTAAATGAGGAATGTTTGTTTATTTCATTTCAAGTGCCAAGTGTTGATGTTCAGTTTCCATACTTAAGGTCGATGTAGCTAGCATAATGTTTGCAGAACGGTGCTGTTATTTCTTTGTCATTATTGGGATGGTGTTGTGTTTACAAAGTTCTGGGCTGAAGTGTTCAGTCGGACTGATTGTGTTTTCCACATGTTTATTTATTTGTTCCAGATGTTTCTTCACCTCCTTGATATTTCCCATCAATCAGTTGAGTTCCTATATTTTTCTACCAGGAAGGATTCTGTGAATGTGTTGTGCTGTCATGTTGCCTACCTGGGGGAACAAAAGTATTCTTTGTGGATCGCTCTGGTGTTGTGAATTCAGTTCAGTTGCTTTTCTAGGTTTGTGGAATGAAAAGAAGGTTTGAAGGAAAAAAAAAAAGTGTTTTGTTTTATCTTTCATTGTTCCACCATGTTTGTTTTCTTTACTCAAAGTGATGGTGGCTGTGTCACTCTGTTCACTTTGACCATCACTATTAAAGAAAGTCTTGCTGGTGGCAATGCAAGCTGTTCAGTGTGTGAGCGAGTCCTCTTCTGGGTGTCTCATTTCACGCTTTATAACATTTGCAAGATCCAGAGGTGGAAGAAGTACTCAGGTCTTGTACTTGAGTAAAAGTAGAAGTACTCAGGTCTTGTACTTGAGTAAAGTAGAAGTACTCAGATCTTGTAGTTGAGTAGAAGTACTCAGATCTGGTACTTGAGTAAAAGTAGAAGTACTCAGATCTTGTACTTGAGTAAAAGTAGAAGTACTCTGATCTTGTACTTGAGTAAAAGTAGAAGTACTCAGATCTTGTACTTGAGTAAAAGTACTCAGATCTTGTAGTTGAGTAAAAGTGGAAGTACTCAGATCTTGTACTTAGTAAAAGTAGAAGTACTCAGATCTTGTACTTGAGTAAAAGTAGAAGTACTCAGATCTTGTAGTTGAGTAAAAGTAGAAGTACTCAGATCTTGTACTTGAGTAAAAGTAGAAGTACTCAGATCTTGTACTTGAGTAAAAGTAGAAGTACTCAGATCTTGTACTTGAGTAAAAGTAGAAGTACTCAGATCTTGTACTTGAGTAAAAGTAGAAGTACTCAGATCTTGTACTTGAGTAAAAGTAGAAGTACTCAGATCTTGTACTTGAGTAAAAGTAGAAGTACTCAGATCTTGTACTTGAGTAAAAGTAGAAGTACTCAGATCTTGTACTTGAGTAAAAGTAGAAGTACTCAGATCTTGTACTTGAGTAAAAGTAGAAGTACTCAGATCTTGTACTTGAGTAAAAGTAGAAGTACTCAGATCTTGTACTTGAGTAAAAGTAGAAGTACTCAGATCTTGTACTTGAGTAAAAGTAGAAGTACTCAGATCTTGTACTTGAGTAAAAGTAGAAGTACTCAGATCTTGTACTTGAGTAAAAGTAGAAGTACTCAGATCTTGTACTTGAGTAAAAGTAGAAGTACTCAGATCTTGTACTTGAGTAAAAGTAGAAGTACTCAGATCTTGTACTTGAGTAAAAGTAGAAGTACTCAGATCTTGTACTTGAGTAAAAGTAGAAGTACTCAGATCTTGTACTTGAGTAAAAGTAGAAGTACTCAGATCTTGTACTTGAGTAAAAGTAGAAGTACTCAGATCTTGTACTTGAGTAAAAGTAGAAGTACTCAGATCTTGTACTTGAGTAAAAGTAGAAGTACTCAGATCTTGTACTTGAGTAAAAGTAGAAGTACTCAGATCTTGTACTTGAGTAAAAGTAGAAGTACTCAGATCTTGTACTTGAGTAAAAGTAGAAGTACTCAGATCTTGTACTTGAGTAAAAGTAGAAGTACTCAGATCTTGTACTTGAGTAAAAGTAGAAGTACTCAGATCTTGTACTTGAGTAAAAGTAGAAGTACTCAGATCTTGTACTTGAGTAAAAGTAGAAGTACTCAGATCTTGTACTTGAGTAAAAGTAGAAGTACTCAGATCTTGTACTTGAGTAAAAGTAGAAGTACTCAGATCTTGTACTTGAGTAAAAGTAGAAGTACTCAGATCTTGTACTTGAGTAAAAGTAGAAGTACTCAGATCTTGTAGTAAAAGTAGAAGTACTCAGATCTTGTACTTGAGTAAAAGTAGAAGTACTCTGATCTTGTACTTGAGTAAAAGTAGAAGTACTCAGATCTTGTACTTGAGTAAAGGTAGAAGTACTCTGATCTTGTACTTGAGTAAAAGTAGAAGTACTCAGATCTTGTACTTGAGTTAAAGTAGAAGTACTCAGATCTTGTACTTGAGTAAAAGTAGAAGTACTCAGATCCAGAGTACCAGAGTGTAGGAATACAATGTTACAGTAAAAGTCCTGCATTCAAAATGTTCCTCAAGTAAAAGAAAAGTATTCTCATCAAAATATAGTGAAAGTAGAGACAGTAAAAGTAGTCATTGTGCAGATTGGTCCATTTCAGAATAATATATATGATATGTTTTATAATGATTGATCATGAAAGTGTTCTCAAAGCTGGTAAAGGTGCAGCTAGTCTGAATGACTTTGTATACTGCAGGGTAGCTTGTGACTTTACTCCAGGTGGAACTAAAGTCTGATTTAACACTCGATTATATTTCACATCATTCATCCACATCTGTGAAGTAACTAAAGGTATTACATACATGTAGTGGAGTAAAAGTACACCATTTACCTCTGAACTGTAGTGGAGTAGAAGTACAAAGAAGCATACATTGAAATAATCAAGTAAAGTACAAGTACCTCAGAATGGTACTTAAGTATAGTTGAGTAAATGTACTTTGTTACATTACACCACTGGCAAGATGCGATGCTTTTAATCAAGAATTAACTACGAGAAAATGACATTTGGGTAAGGGTTGTCAAACAAAGACACAATAAAATGACCTTGTGAGACAGTTAGATATGAATTATAATTCACCACACTGCATCAATTCAGAAGTTGTTTGTGCTTCAATGTAGTCAACACTTCCAGTATTCAGTTGATCTCGTTGTAGCTTTCCAGACCTGCAAGGAAGTTAGATAACTACTGTTGACATCATGTATCTAAAACCATGTTGTTGCTCCAGCAGTGTTTCAAATCAGAAAAACATGTGGTTTCATGACGCCTTCAGGTGCTCCCTGTAAATACCACTACTTCGTAAGAAATACACAAACATGTGGCTTTGGGTAGAAAAAACTACTTTTCACAGAAATACTAAAGCCACGGAGATGGTGTGTGTACAGGTTTAATGTGTGTGTGTGTGTGTGTGTGTACAGGTTTAATGTGTGTGTGTGTGTGTGTGTGTGTGTGTGTGTGTGTGTGTGTGTGTGTGTGTGTGTGTGTGTGTGTGTGTCGTAATGTGCTGAATGTTGGGTACATATGTTCAGCTGCTCAATGCCAACAAGATAACGCAATACCAGCCCTATTCAGAACAAATGGCATCTGAAGCTTTAAGACAGAAAATAGAAACACATTTAAACAAATAAATAACAGGAAATGTTTTTATTTATTTATTAATGATGGAGCTGTACTGGCTGCCAAAAACTAAAAATACAAAATCTCAAAAAGTATGCTGCATTCAGGTGCTATAAAAAAACAGATACCTGATATAATTGTCAACAAATTGGATGCAATAGCAAGTTGCCCAAACGCTTAAACACACTATGAAGGAACTAAGCCAGTATATTTGAAGTTTTCAAGACTTATCCGAGCAGCGTTATTCCACAAACAAATGTAATATGACTATACATTTTGTCTTCTTAGTAAGTGTTAATGTTGATGTAAAGCACTTCGAATTGCCTCTCTCTGTGTCTAAACATGTGCTATATAAATAAACGTACCTTACCTTACCTATAACAAACTGATACAAAGGTATACAAATAAATAAATGAAAAAACCGGGAATATATATTAAAAGATAATTACATAAGTAAATGAAAATGAATGTTTCCTGGTATTTCTTTGTAGCTTATGTCACTTTTTGTACGCGCTGAGTTCAACAATTTCCCTAATGTCCCATTGAACCCAAACGCATCAGGAGCCTTCTTGTCGGGTGGGCTGGTAAACATCGGTATTTCTGACAGCACTGGAAGGCACCACAAGTCCATCCTTCCCATCAGCAATCTGCTCAAAAAGCATTTCTCCTGTGAGGCTCCACCAGAAAACTTCACCGACTCTCTGCACAACAACACGCCGACATGGATGCCCTAAAGTCGGCCGGGAGAGCCATCATCCGGAGCCCGAGTATGGCGAAACAGTCCTGGACTGCTGGCAGACACAGAAGTAAGAAATGTTGGTTGACTTGAAAAGGAAAACTTAGAAATGATACACTTTTTGCTACATGTCCTCGTCTCACCGTGCTTAAGTTGACTTGTGCTCGCTGCCTTGTACTTCAATAAGTTCAATTAACACAATAAGGGAAGTTCAACGTTACATTTGAGTGAACACTTTACCAAAGTTAAGCGTTTTGTGTCAAAAGTTGTGTTTTCAGTGTCTGGATGTAGCAGAAACGTTACAAAATGACGTGTTTTTAATTTGCGTTTTGTTTGACAGAGTCTAAACTGCACTAAGACAATGCTTCTTACATTTTTGCTTTGTATTTTTCTGTTGTTTAAGTTAAAATCTGTTTATTTAGGAGATTGAGTAAACTTGTTTGTTTGCAATGCGGTTCATCCTGTGACAGGAATTTCCCCAAATAAATGTTATTTTGAAATTAGGCAAAGTAGACCACAATATGACAAACACTCCAAATATCGTGATTTTTTTATTGTAAATATTCGAAGTTATCTCACTCTCAATAGTTAGATAAGGATAAGTGCCTAGTGCTGCATTGCCATGTTATTTTGCTGACTAAAGCACTTTTTAGGATTTGTGGATAATCCAAATCTCCCAGAATTCCTTATTTTTTTCCATCCACAGTCCCAGAGGCAGTGCAGAGGTCAGGGTCATTACTACAACCGACAGTGAGTTTGCTCAAGAGCCCTTCAGCAGGTCAGGAGCTCGCTCACTGCAACAGAACATGCAACTCTGGTGCTCATTGTAGGACTCAAGGGCCACTTTGTGAACTAAATCTCACTTGATCCTGGATGTAAAGTTCTGTTGGGGGGGGGATGCCTGGGGGGCTTAAGGAGCTCCCATGCCTGTAACCAAGAGGAAAAGCCAAGAATGCTGAGAGTCAGTCAGTGCAAGGCTCCTGTTGGCTGGAGATCAAGCTGGTCTGTTTTAAATTCCATCGGAGAGGCCAATACAAAGCATATATGATCATTAGAGAGTTCAGGGGGGATTACATGCATATCTCAGGATATTATACGTAACCCTAGCTCACCTGGAAGAGTTGCAATGCCTCAGGAATTTGAGATTCACTCTTGAAGACAGATATGGTCCCAGTGTATTTCTCTTTTCACGGATAAGGGTGAGATTTGTATGTACGCAGAAACCAGTGAACACATGTAGTGTTCTGTCTAAATGTGATTCATGACACTGGAAGCTCCCTGAAATATATTTACAGCAGGTTTTAACCGTGTCCCGTTTAAATGCTCCACAGTAAACAATCAGGAAATACATATCCGACAACCTACTGTATGTGGATCCCTTTTTATTATGAAGCTACACAGAATCCTAGGCATATAAATCAGGGGGTGCGTTTACAATGATATTAATTATCGATCAAGCTTTTGGTATAAAAAGGTCAGACAATAGTAAAACGATTTAATTCCAGTTCCTAAAAATCCAAGGCGATGTCTTGAAATGTTTATTGACAAAAGAAAAACAAAGATATTCAGTTAAATATTATATAAAACAGAGAAGGGCAAGTCTCAACTTTTAAGAGGCTGATTAGGCCGTATTTTCTCCCATTGCTGCATAATAAACTACTGTAGTCATGAATTGATTATCTTTAGTTGGCTGTATTTTTCGCTCTATTAGTCAAATATTATTATAGCTCTTATTTAAATCTCAATCTTAAAGGTAGGGTAGGTAAGTTTGAGAAACCGGCTCGAGATACACTTGTTGTTATATTCCATGGAATGCTCTTAACATCCTGATAGCAATGAATATCTGAAGTGCTTTGACAAAAAATACATAAATAAATATCATCTGTGGAAGCTGTAGTACTGTAAAAAGCACGACCAATCACCTGAGCCGGCCCGGCTAAAATAACTGGATGGCCTACCTGCCTGTCAGCCTTCCATCTGTGCACAAACTTATCTCGTGCCCTCATTGGTCATGTGCGCGTTCGTGTGTGTTGGAGGAGGGGCTCTGTGAGGAAGTGGGAGATTTGTTCCGGCTGTGTATTTTCAAATTCTAGCGATCTCGAGCCGGTTTCTCCAAAATTACCTACCCCAATTTTTATCTCATGTAGACATTTTAAACCAGCTTGTGAAATGTTGATCTAGTTTTTTTTTAAGGAGTTTCCATGAGGTATTTCTTACTTGAACCGGGCTCTTACCCTGATTATTAGTGGAATTAAAAGCTTCCTGTAAACGCTAGTGACCCACTTGTTGTAAGTATTGTATTGTAGTGTAGGTTACCAGGGGCCTCATTTATAATGCTTTGCGTAGGATTCACGTGGGAAGGTGGCTTACGTAGGACAAAGCAAATAAATATGCACAAAAATATTCCGATTTATAAAACACTGCGCACGCCGGTTTCCCTTTTTATAAATTACAATCAACTCGAACTGCGGCGCAGCTTTTGCGGGCTTCACGCAACGCCAATTTTTGCCTATAAATAGTCAAAGAAACGCCCCGTATTCATTCTGACTGACTGCATGAAGAAGATCGCAGGAAATGACAACGGAACAGCTGAAAAAGACATCTCTCACCGTGTCAGATGTTGGCTCTTTTGGGGAGGTGGAGACAAATCATATTGTTTGGTGGATGCAGTTTGAACCAGAGGAGCAGCATGGAGGTCGGATCGTCACCAACATAAATAAATAAGGGGTCCGAAAAAAGTTAATGACAAAAAACTCATAACCTTCCTCAGGCAGTGTGTCAGTGTGTTTGTGCCGGGGACAGGAGATGAGAAACTGTAAGAAATGATCGGAGAATCCCTCATCATGACGACTGGATCTGAATTGTTTTATTTTATTTGGTGGTTTGTGTTCCAGCTGTCGATCAGCTGTCGATCAGCTGTCGATCAGCTGTCGATCAGCTGTCGATCAGCTGTGCGCAGCGTCTCCACTGCAGCCTGTGCGTCTCAACCCCCCCCCCCCCCCCCTCCCCAGCACCTCTATCCACCACTTAAAGGAAATACAATGTGTTTGTTATATCAGCTGTACAATGGGGGGGTTACCTTGGTTGCTGATTGGCTAATGGTTACACAAGACAAAACATCGTTATGACATCATAAAGTGGCCAAAATCTGATCAGCTCATTTTCAGACAGGTTTTAATAGAAATGGATCAAAAAGAGAGAGAATCTTTTTTCCTGAAACTTTCAGAGTCTCTTTCCACAGAGGGGACACATGTTGATGAAGAAGAGACATGAAGAAGAGGGGACACATGTTGATGTAGAAGAGACATGAAGAAGAGGGGACACATGTTGATGAAGAAGAGACATGAAGAAGAGGGGACACATGTTGATGAAGAAGAGACATGAAGAAGAGGGGACACATGTTGATGAAGAAGAGACATGAAGAAGAGGGGACACATGTTGATGAAGAAGAGACATGAAGAAGAAGAGGGACACATGTTGATGTAGAAGAGACATGAAGAAGAGGGGACACATGTTGATGAAGAAGAGACATGAAGAAGAGGGGACACATGTTGATGAAGAAGAGACATGAAGAAGAGGGGACACATGTTGATGTAGAAGAGACATGAAGAAGAGGGGACACATGTTGATGTAGAAGAGACATGAAGAAGAGGGGACACATGTTGATGAAGAAGAGACATGAAGAAGAGGGGACACATGTTGATGTAGAAGAGACATGAAGAAGAGGGGACACATGTTGATGTAGAAGAGACATGAAGAAGAGGGGACACATGTTGATGAAGAAGAGACATGAAGAAGAGGGGACACATGTTGATGTAGAAGAGACATGAAGAAGAGGGGACACATGTTGATGTAGAAGAGACATGAAGAGGGGACCATGAAGAGACTGAAAAAAGGGACACATGTTGATGAAGAAGAGACATGAAGAAGAGGGGACACATGTTGATGTAGAAGAGACATGAAGAAGAGGGGACACATGTTGATGAAGAAGAGACATGAAGAAGAGGGGACACATGTTGATGTAGAAGAGACATGAAGAAGAGGGGACACATGTTGATGAAAGAAGAGACATGAAGAAGAGGGGACACATGTTGATGAAGAAGAGACATGAAGAAGAGGGGACACATGTTGATGAAGAAGAGAGACATGAAGAAGAGGGGACACATGTTGATGAAGAAGAGACATGAAGAAGAGGGGACACATGTTGATGTAGAAGAGACATGAAGAAGAGGGGACACATGTTGATGAAGAAGAGACATGAAGAAGAGGGGACACATGTTGATGAAAAAGAGACATGAAGAAGAGGGGACACATGTTGATGAAGAAGAGACATGAAGAAGAGGGGACACATGTTGATGTAGAAGAGACATGAAGAAGAGGGGACACATGTTGATGTAGAAGAGACATGAAGAAGAGGGGACACATGTTGATGAAGAAGAGACATGAAGAAGAGGGGACACATGTTGATGTAGAAGAGACATGAAGAAGAGGGGACACATGTTGATGAAGAAGAGACATGAAGAAGAGGGGACACATGTTGATGAAGAAGAGACATGAGGAAGAGGGGACACATGTTGATGTAGAAGAGACATGAAGAAGAGGGGACACATGTTGATGAAGAAGAGACATGAGGAAGAGGGGACACATGTTGATGAAGAAGAGAGGACACATGTTGATATATGTATACAAGACATGAACAAGTGGATTTTGCATAATAGATTACTTTGAATGGAACTCTATAGGCCTTAGCTCTGTGTTTCTGCTTACACTTTGTGAGCAGAAACCCATTCAATCCTCTGGGGACTGTCCTGTATTCAAACAGAGAAAACCTCCACACACTTCTCTGCTCTTATTGCCCAGCTTCTGTCGCCCTAGACGACCCTCACCGGCACCCTGCCATGGAGGGCCGGTCAGAGGGTGCTTTCTGCAGCAAAGAGCCTCTAAAAAGGACCCTCTGAAATGGGAGCATGTGATTAAAACACAGTCATTCTTATTCTTATTCTTTATTAGGATCTGCATGAGCATTGGCTATTCTTCCTGGGGTCCTCACACACACAAAACATACATAAA